GGTGGGTTTAGTAGCAGGAAGCCAGTGTTTTCTGACTGACACAGACAGTAGCTCCCGAGTTCGTAGGGCGCACAATTATCCTTAGGGGCTAGGATCTTGGCCCACCCAGCCCCAGGGAGATTCCCCCGACCTATCCCTGTTTCCGCTGGAGTTGGGTAGAGGGCAGTTTTGTGGGCGCCCTCTGAGCCAGGCGGTTTTCTTGCAGACGTCTCGTGACCCAACCAGGTTATACCATCATTGCTCAAAGGGAGTGGGGAAGTGGGGGGAGGAGGAGGAGGCGGAGGAGAGGAGGAGGAGGAGGAGGAGGAGGAGGAGGAGGAGGAGGAGGAGGAGGAAGAGAACTATGTGGCGTTTGGTCCTCTCTAAGCTTGGTTGTTTGTTTGTAGACATCACATTACTCAACTAGGTAACATCATCAGGGCTGGAAGGGAGCGGAGTTAACTCTTCTAGCCTTTTTGCTATATTACCCAAAATTACCCAACCACCATCCCTTCTTCCTCCTCCCCACAAATCCTACCCTCTCCTGGCCCTGAGGAGGTTCCCTAGTTGGGTCCTGAAACGCCTGCAGGAAAACCATCAAGGCCAGAGAGCACCAGGGACCCCACCGTCCTCCTCCTCCTCCTCCTCCTCCTCCGGACCTCTAGCCCCGAGGATGTTACCTAATTGGGTAACTAGGGGGTTTCCTCCTTTTCCAGGTGCTCCCCCTCCTTCCCTCCCTCCCTCCCTCTCTTCTAGCACGGGGGACTCCCCTAGTGGGGTGATGAAACATCTTCAAGAAGAAAACCAGGAAGAAAACCCCAGGGAGCACCGGGAGGCCACCGTTCAGCTCTGAGCTGCAGACGTTCCCCTCTATCAGTAAGGCGCTTCTTCCTCCTACGAGCCCGTCCACCCGAAGGCCCCTGGCGAGTGGGGGTCCCCTTGCAGCCGCCCCACCCCTCCTCCCTTCGTGCCCCGTCCCTCCTGCCCCTGCCTTACACAAGGCAGACTTTCTCCATTCCAGCCTCCTTCTCCCAGAGAGGTCCCGTCAAGAAAGGAGGAAGAGGAGGGAGGGTTGGTGGGAGGGAGGAAGGAAGGAAGGAAGGAAGGAAGGAAGGAAGGAAGGA